CGCAACATAGCTCGAGTGACACCAACAACAGACAAATGACACATGATCAAGCAAACAAAAGTCCTTTTATCGTGCTCTCTCTACTTTTGCGGCCCCTTTTTGGGGTGAGCTGTGCAAGCTGAATGAGCTGTGCAAGCTGCAAAAATGGTTCACAATCAACCCATGATACGTGCAGTGGACATGCTCATTCGTAATTCGTTCGCAGTGGTGGCGAATTAGTTGGGAATACTCTTTAAGAACACGCACGCAAAGGTGGATGTATTCCACATCGCAAGTGCCTTGCTCGAGAACAACGTGCCCTCCCAGAGCACACTGGGACCGTCCCCCCCGCCCCCCTCCTTCCTGTGACTGTAATGCAATCTGTGTCATTGTGTAATTACTCTGCCACCTGGAGTGATTAGTTGACACATTCATTACAAAGAGTGGCACACTTTGATTTAAGATTTTGTGGCTGGGAAAAGCAAGAGTCGGGATGCCTTTTTTGACTTTGAACTAAAACGCAGAGGTGGATAATAAGGACAAATAGAATATCCTCAGCTTTTAATGTAGCAACCTCTCTAAATTTGGACATGTCTTTGCTCACCGTTGGTACTGCAAAAGGCGTGCTGCTGGCGGCCTGTCCCTGACTACGGCATATCCTAAAAAACACTCGACATTGCTGCACTGATTTTAATCACCCATCTACCGCACATGAGCACGCCTTCACAAAAATGACGACAAATGACTGCAGCAAAAAGGAGCAACTTAAAAAAAAAAAAAAAAAAAAAAAGGGAAAAAAAAGAAAAAGAAAAGTAGTGGGTGCCGTGCTGAAATGCTCCGCCAAAACTAACAGATGCACTAATGTGGTTCCAGATGAGGGAACACTGATGTATTGTCAGCGGCCATAAAGGAGATAGGCCCGAGTGCCATTACAGGGTGTAAAAGCATCCCTGTGACTGATGAAACGGAGTCGATTGAAAGCAGTGCGCGCGCGCACACACACACTCACACGCTCGCACACAAATACCAGGAGCCATTGAAATGTTCCCTCTTTCTTTCTTTCTTTCTTTCTTTCTTTCGAGGAGCCAAGGCTGCTTTTGTTTTACTCCTCAGGGGACAAATCTGGTGATATTTGGCCAGGGATGTAAACACACTCCCGGGGAGGAGCGGCGGTATTGTAAGCTTCGACGCACTAGATGCGTGTCGGTCACTCGGCAGACCGGAAAACCTCCTGTAAAATCAGCGAGTGCGTCACGTTGGATCTTATCAGAAAGTTTAAGATGAGTACATAATGTAAAAAATAAATAAATAAATAAAAAATCGTCATGATGATTAAGGTCAAACAACAGATGACAACCTGATCTGATGAGATTGTGACATGATTCACAGGCCACAGGAACCATATTTGGCTCCTTGAGAAACAACATTTGAGTCCTTGAATGGGCGAATATGAGGCAATAGAAAGTTATATAGATGGCAAATTAAATTAAATATGACGAAAAACAGTCAACTGTAGTTAAATTATGTTCATGTGATTCGAATAAAATAAAACTACATGCAAGTAAAATGGTCTCAAGTCATTAAGTGTTTCAATGAATTGAAAGCAGATTACTTGGGGAAAAGGCATTTTAATGCCAACCAAATCATGTAGTACAAGACAAAAAAAGTTAAATTACATAAGAAAGTTTTATTTTTTTCATTCCAGCCAAAAGGAAAAACAATTTACGACCTTTTGTGAACGGTTAGTTAATGTTTTAACCTGCCATTATTTTAAGATTGATGTATGTACTGTTCAATCGTACCAAGACTTTCATTTCGCTGACTGAAATGAAAGACCTTGTTGAAGTCATTTGTCTTCTTCCATTGGATTTAAAGATTTTCCTTAGAGTCTCTCTGCTGATTGGCTGAGAGCAATCGCATGCCATAAACATGATTCTGTGCCCCACGAATCACAAAATTGGCATAATCTGGATCAGATCCGAATCAAATCTGGTTGGCCAGCACTCCTGATTGCCTGTACGCAATTGCGCCATTATCGATGTGCGGCTACAATCAAAGGATTCCAGTGCGATGCATCAAAAGCGAAACATGACGTTACGCAAAAACCAATCGAGTGAAAACATACGCTCCTTGGTTGAGGAAACCACAACGGTCAAAGACTTCAACTCGGCAGCAAAGACGCCCTTCTTTTGCGGCATTCTCTTCAAACGGCAGCACATCTCTCAGCGAAGCTCGCTGCCAATTAGACGTTACAGCCACGACCGGTTCAAAGTGTCCGCGTCCGCAACCTTGATTAAGTCTGCTTAACCTCACATTTCCTCACCGACGCCTGCTTAGCATTCCGTTCGCTCAGCTTTGGTCATCACAAGCGTGGACTTCAAACGGCTTCCGATGCTATTTGGGTGTCAATCACATCGACGCAAGACTCGCGCAGGGAAACTGAGGGAGGCCCGAAAAGTCCCAGCAAGGGACGTCTGAGTGACTTTGAAAAGATGGAATCACTCGAGTAAATGATGGAATTGTGAAATATTTTTTCCAATATAATAGTAAGTAACAAAAGTCGGTCGGCATTGACGTGATCAATGGTGACAAATACCAGTACGAGTATTCACGCCGAGTACCGATACCATGACTACTTTTGATATATAAAATGTTCTTTTGTACAATGAACCCAAATTGTCACCCATGACCTTTCTTTCTGAAACAGATGATTTGCCATTGTGTCAAACTACCGCAGTTAGAGTGCCAACTACTGCTGAGGATGACTTAGTTCAATGTCAGATTTTGAATAAGGCTAGTATTGGCATCGATACCAATGCCTATCTGACAATTTGCCTGTTTTTATGTAATCACACCAATAATTCACAATTACAGATCGAATGTTTTACGAGTAAATTGTGCTAAAAATTCCAGACGATTAGGACTACAGTTGAATTCGCGTTCCTACTGTTTTTAATGTTTCGGAGTCAGGTGTGCGGTCAAAAGTGGTTCAACAAGCTACATCAGCTATTCTACAACAAAATATGAACGTGCAAAAAAAACAAAAGAAAAAAAATACTACAACATTATCGTGATGCTGATATTTTTGCAAGCCTCATCAGATATTCTCAATCTGTCTCACTTGAGAAAGTCGAGCTAGTAAACTTTCTGCCTTCTGAGGTCGTATCACAGTCTTAACAGACATCGCTAGTGTCAAAGGGAATACGGAACTACAATCAAAAACAGAATAGAAACAGTATTGCTCTCATCCTTTCACTGCCGTCCGACAAAGATTTTATGCACCGCATCAGACACTACCACTGACGTCACCAATTTATCTGATGACGGGGCGCCGTATGTCTGCATGAAAGCATACGCCTGCATCAACATCCCGCCAAAAGGTGAAAAACCTGTCAGATCTTCCATTAGGAATCTGACGCAGGAATTTTGTGGGATCTCGGCGTGAAAGAGGCTATTCAAACACACAGACCCTGTCGAAAAAAAATTAAGCTGAAAGTATAACTTCAAGCTTACAGGATATCACAATATTCCCATTAAGACTCAGGCATTTGGATCAACTTGAAGGAAACGGAAAATATGGCATTTTCATCATTCTGTAAAAACCAAAATGTTTTTTTTTTACTTAGTACGCATTCTCAAGAAAAACGGACAGGTAATATTTGTGTAATATTTCTGACCAACAGGGTTGAAAACCACCTTGGTGGAGGTATTTCGTGGTCACTTTTTATATGGTAGGCTACTACTTCATAAATTCGCAAGTCGGGTCATGACTCCTACTCGTCCGACACCTCCAGAACACAGAGGTCAGGTCATGGCGTTAAGAGGCTGCTTTTCCGGCTTTTTCTTCCCTTGTGATCTCGCTACGCCCCAGCACCCTCCTTCTCCTTTCTCCTCTTCCCCCTACACCCCCCTCGGACCCACAAAGAGCCCCCCCCCCTCCCGAACTCTACCCCCCCAGACACCCTCCCACCCGTCCTTTTTTGGGGAATTAATGGCCTTGTATTCATCCACGGTTTTAGAACTTTTCTTTCAATTTGTCAGGTGGGGTTCCGAGAGGAAAAAAAAAGTGACCCATTGAGTCCAGCTGCTGGGCGCATGCGTAGCCAACCATTCGGTTGATGTTTATCACCAATGAATAGATGAAAGGCGGTAGCGTGACAGGCGATCAATCAAGCATCAAATCGAGGATGGCAATGCTGGCGCGAGCTGAAAATAAGACATTTTTGCTCTTTTTTGGGGGTGCTGTTTCATCCATCCTTCATATTCTCATAAACATTAAAAACTGTGGAAAAAATATTTAAGTTGGAAGAAGTTGCTTCATGACAGCAACATTAAAATAAGATGAAACCACCAAACTATTAAGTAGTAAGGGTATAACAGGAGTGATTTTGATTACCATAAACAGAAATATCGGTCTTAATAGTTCCTAACATAACGGTATGCTCCCAAGAATTAGTCAAACATAGTAAAATATTAAGTTTAGCATTACACTCCACAACGTATTTTTGTTCCCTAACAAATCCCTCATAGCACAAAATTCCCATTAAAAATCCAATTTTAACTTTTGTGCTCCACCTAGACTAAAATCGAACACCTCTCTACTGTGTTTAATTCGCGTCAATTAAAATGCGTGTCGTGTGCGAGGGTGTGTTTGTTTACAAGACCAGGACGTACCTGACGAGCGCCGCGGTGCTTGCTGCTTCCTCCTCGGCATGCTCCCGCTGCTGGACTTTTCATGCAGACCCCGAACTGCTCAACCCAAAAATGTTGAAAAAAAAACTGCTGCGAGTCCAGGGAGTCTTCGCGTAGATCCGTCCTTCGCGTTGCTCGGGTATTTTAAAGGAACAATTGAGCGTTTAACTCATTACTCGTGGAGAGTATTTCCGCAAAAGACGTTGGGGGGGGTCCGCTAAGTTGCCGGAAGGCTCCGTCTGGATGTACCGGAGGTGGCTTGGGGAAGGCAAGCGAGGGGGGGGCCCCCTCCGTTCCAAGAACCTCTTTCTGACGGGACTATTTCCTACCTTCGCGGCCCCAGAAGTACGGCGGAGCAGTTCAGAACTCTCGTGGGGGGGCGGCGGCGGGGGCTTCCGCGCTGTGGGCCGTGGGAGCTTCCGTGACACTCTGTGGGAGCGAAGAGGAAAAAAGAGAGAGTGACACGTTTAGTGCCCGCGCTCGTTCGGCTTGTCAGTCATTGGGCGTGCGCGAACCCGCGAGACTCAAAGGCGCGCGCGCGCGCTCGCTCGCTCTCTCCTCAATATGATTTTTGACGAAATCAAAACAAACAAAGCGTCACACAACAGGACCAAGTACAAGAGGAAGCAGAGCTCCTCCGCGGCGTGCACGAGGAGGATGGCGGCCCGGCTCGCACTGATGGACGGACACACGCAACGCAGCGCAGCCGGGGCTGGCCTCTCCGCTGCTTTTTTTTTTTTTTACTCCACCCCTTCAAGGCGCGTCACCCTGACAAGCCGGAGCCCACCTGTCCGTCAATCCGCCGCCGAGTGTTTACCAGTCGGCGTCACTTTGACATCAACACCCACCCACCCATTCACGCACACAAACACAAAACCGAGTCGATGTGGTAGCGGCACTATTGTGGAGATTCCTTTTCTCCATCAAGAGCTAAAGTGCAACACGTAATAAAAAAAAATGCGCTATATATTTTTTTAGATATTATATACTATGACCCAAATGGGTCAATTCAGAAATAGAGGGCATTTTCTGTCGGCCCAATCCAATGGACATTCAAGCCAATTTGCAAAATAGAGAACACGGCATGCACTTGTGAACATTATGTTTGTCCTGAGACAATCTGTAGAAAAACTAATTCAGACATATTGAATTTACAAATGGCTCTTGAGCACCTCCTAAAAAGACTTCTCTTATCCCTTCACCTTGATGACCAACTTGCATATCAGATGAAGTATGTTTTCAATCTTTTTGGAATGTGATTTTGTCTATGCCTTCCATGAAATGCAATTATTAAACATTGAACACTGAAGTCCCTCTTTTGGCAATTAACCTACACCTTGAAATGTCATTTTAACAGCCAATTATACCTTACCCTCCCATATGAACCATCATCTTTAGAAATATCTGATTTGAACATGAAAATGGCCTTAAATGAAAAACAACAGAAATGTCTCCCACAAGGAAAGTTATCAAAAGTTTGTCCCTTTGATTTTTGTAAACACCAATTACAAAACCAATGTCTATTTTAAGAGTTTTAAGAAAGTCATTTTCAGCGAGCCTGCTTTGATTTTTACATATATTCATGGTGCCCAAAATGGGGTGTGTGGGCCATGAATGGCCGGCCAGAACATTCAATCAGACCTAGGAACTGTGATTCAAAATATGAACCCATAAATGCCCACCATAAATGCCCACCATATATACACACACACACACACACACACGCACACGCACACGCACACACACACGCACACACACACACAAAGTACTAAGAAACATGCATGTTTGACTTTTTTCCGTCTTTTTTTTTTTTTGGCGTGGCACAAAAGAGGTGGCGGATGAATCGGGTCCACCTTTCTTCAGCAGCTTCACACGGAGGGGAGGGGCTCCCAGATCCTCTGCCACAAGGAGGTGGGTGGGTGGGGGGGTCTACATTAGCCAGCCATTCCCAAGCGTTAGCAAAGTGTTTATAAAAGCGGGCAAACACAGTGGTGGGGGTTACATTGCTAATGCCTCGACGGGGAATGAACATTTCAGGGGACGGCATCCATGAGCAGGACTATGATCACACGGCGGCCGGAAGGAGAAACTTGGTGGTGAGTGCTCGCCATGACTACACGCGACAGAAAACTCGTTAATGAGCGCCAGCGAAAGGAAAGGACCGCCCTCGGAACACAACACGTGTCCATCCGCGTCTGTCACCGCAGCCTGCAACGCTGATTGACGGAGAGTGGTGACGTCACTGGGGGGGGGGGGACTGGGTTATTGGGGTGTGCGGGAGAGAGGGGGCTTTAGCTCACATAGGATGACTCCTTACTGTTCAAGAAATAGAGACTTTTTATTTTTAACGGGGCACCTAAGACGATGTAAATGCCAAGTCGGAGCTTTGATCTACTGGTCTGAAGGTATTCTAATGCAAAATTGCACTTTTTGACAAAATTTGAACCATGGGTCTGGCTTTTAAGTCAAGAGCTTTCATGAATAAAATGATTGTTTTGAATGTACACTTTAAAGTGGATATGCATCACTTTTACAATATTTTTATTGAGGTGCCTATGACCACTTAATGATTCTCGCTCATTTCGACTTGTATTTATTTAGTTAGTTAATTTTTATTTATTTTTTACCCCACTACAATCTAAAGCATGAGTTTAATTTTGAAGATCTTGAACGGCTAAACTTTGTTTTGGGTGCATTTTAAAATATGCACTTTTCACAGATTTCAATGAGGCAGCAAATACAATTTAAATCCGGAGTTTGGCTCTTTCGAGCTTTAATACTGTAAATAAATTGTTTTGAATGTATTCCACTTTCAGCACTTTTTTTTTTTTTTAAACAAACATCAAATAAAATTAACTGACTGAGTTTGAATAGATGTATTTTGTGTGTTTTCAATATAAAATTGTACTGTTTGGTTATAGTTTTACTGAGGTCAGTGCAAATTAAATCCTGATTTCAAACTCATGATTATTTTTTAAAATTTATTACACTGTGAAAAAAACAACATTGTTTTAGAATTTGAACGAGGCTTTAATATATTTTGTCTGTGTGTGTTTAAAACTCATTGCAATGTAAACAAAATATACACATTCTTATACAGATAAGGCGCCAAACACACTTGGCTTATTGTAGCATAACCCCCCAATATGTATCATGCCCTAATACTAAAATCAGGTCGTCAAAGTATTAGGAACGCATTCAGTACAAAACAGACGATTGCATTGAATGCAGCTCTTGTATTGGCTCTCATTACATTTTGTATTTCAGCACACATTCAGGTTGAGTTCACAAAAAATAGGAACAATGAAATGCATGCGAATGTCAAAGGGGAAGGGTTTTAAGGTTGCATTGCAGGAAAATAAGTAGGGCCAGCAGGGGGGGTCCTGGGGTCCCAAGAGAAAGCTCATAATGTGCCTGCACTCAAGTGTGTGTGTGTCTGTGTGTGTGTGTGTGTGTGTGTGTGTGTGTGTGTGTGTGTGTGTGTGTGTGTGAATTGTTATAAAAAAGTAACAGAAAGGTGTGTGTAATGAGTAAACTTGTCATCTTGGTGCGTGTTTGTGAATTGCGATATACCCAGCAGGTGCATTCCCTTGTTGTCAGTTTTAAGAGTGTAGAAACTCGGTCGGAAATCATCCTAATCTTTGCAAAGGCATCATTGACAGCACAGATGTCGCCAATGTTGTGGCCAGTGAGTGTATACTTACAGAAACAATCAATGATCAGAAGTATTGATACGCCCTCCCCCCCAAGCCTCCTTGCTACTTTTTTCTGTCTTTCTACGATATGGATATATTTCCAGAATATATAACACGAATGTGTGAAGATTTTTTTTTTTTTTTTTTTTGAAAAAGAATCTATTTAAACTTTTGAGAATTTTAACTATATGTTCATTATTTTACCGTGTGATTGTTATTTTTATTTTTTTTTATAGTTTTATTTTACAAAGTATTTTCTAGTGTTTAAAACTTATTTTGTATTTACACTGTTGTGTTTTTTTTATTTGCTTAATAGTGTGCATTTATAATTCTTTTACCATGTATTATATTTTTTTTATATTTATTTCAATGTTAAAATACGTATTTGTTCATGCATTATTTGCATTTGTGATTTTGAATACTTGGCTGTATTTCTGTCATTCATTTTCTAAAATTTCATGATGTTATTTTTGTCATTTTATTTGGTAACATTATTTTAGCAACCTAATTGTGTTTGCAATGTAACTTATGAGTTATTAGATTTAGGTGTGCTTGGCTTTTGGGGTGGGGTGGTGGTATAAGCAGGTGGCTTCTCAGAGGAGTTTTTTTTTTCATATTAAGTATTTATCATTAATAGTCACGGCAAAGTTAATGGGCCAAATGATGATGGCAGAAATGTTAATGCCTACCTCTTAACGGTCATGAATAAATCAGTTTGTATGGCGCACATTTAAGAGCCGCGTATTTCTTTTCTCCGCTGGCAACTTTTCTGAACAGCCTTCAAAAAGGACGTCGCTAAGCTCCGCACGATGACGGCCGCCATCACATGGACGGGGGGCTGCCTCCGAGGGGACGTACGCTATATGTCTTCAAGAAATATTAATAAAGACTAAATCTGACACGAGCTCTGTTCTATCTGCACACATCTATCAGATAAGTGGATGTAATTAAAAATAATGTGGCCGCTTTCACGTGTGTCGCCTTGGAAAAAGAAGAAAAAAATGACAGGATTCACTACTTTTGACAATACAATTAAACCCTCGTAATCCCCACCTCTTTTTTGTCACTTTGAGGCATTTTTTTATTATTTTAGTTTTTTTTTTTTTATGAAAAGATGGCATTGATGGTTCATGCGTGCGAATAAAACACCGTTTGTGCAGTAATTTGAAATTTAATGTCATGGCGTGTCGGAGACTCAAAGGTGTTTTTAATCTTTTGAATTATTTTTTTAACATTTTCGGTGCTGCTTCTTCTGGCGCTGTATTTATTTGTGGGGCCAAATACAAGTGGGACGACAAATCCAAGTGTCAGCGCCTACATTTTTTTTTTTCATCTGTGAAGCCAAGAGCTATTTATCTCAATTGAAGAGACAAACTGCACATTTGGTCACAAACTTGAGTAAAAATGGATGCCACACGCCTCTCACTCCTAAGGGAGAAGCAGCCCGATATTTGTCTCACAGTCACCCAAAACAACTTACATACAGTGACAGAAAATATTATCATTATACTTGAATGAAAAATATGTAAGATGATATACAAGTGACTGAAAAAAAAGTAAAAACTAATGAACTGCTGAAGTTGATAAAAGTCATGTTACATTTAGATCTATTTCAATAGCCCTAAACCTGGCCTAAAAAGGTAAACAAAAGGTAAACGGTCAGTAAATCTGGATAGAACCCTTCAG